GTATTTAACAACACTGGGCAGAATATAATATTTAATCTTATAGTCTACAATAGGTTAGTCGGCAGTTTGTGTGCATTCTATTAACCCTTTATAATTCAACTTAGATAATTCCATTTATTCATATTTTGTGACACTTTGAACTAAGATAACAACACAAGTTGATTGCTTTCTTGTCTATATTTGGAGGAACTAATTTTAGAAAACAAAAGTTTTCATCTAATTTTTTCGGCTTACTTAAAAGGTACAGTATGGCGAAATAAACATATTACAACTGAAGCCAAAGCCTGGATATACAAGACTTCTATTAGACTTATATTAACATATGCAGCAGAGACTCGACCAGAACATAAAAAGAATGCTAGAACCTACAGAACTGAGAATACATAGTGCGTAGAATAGTTGGGAAAACATTGATGGACAGAGAAAGAAGTGAGGACATAAGAAGGCTTGCAGGATAGATAACATCAATCATTTGATGTTATCTATCATGACAGAAGAACAAATTATTGGAAAAATAACACGGGACAAATCACCATCAGGACGAAAAAGCATTGGAAGACTTAGAAAAGGAGCGGTAACCTTCCAAACGAGTTATGCCTAAATACAGAAAGAACAAGAAGAAGAAGAAATGTTTTCATGGACTACTAATTTTTAAGATGAATGTACTTTTGTCACAAATGCTGTTTTCTCAAAACTGTCAGTACTGGAGCAGTACATAATTAATACGAAATAACAGTATTTTCAACGAGGTAGAAATAATTTTAGCTATCCAGTCAAAATTAAGCACGATTCTGTTCTAGCATGAGGTTCGTAGAAAGAAACGTTTTCCTTGAGGCGATTTTTGAACAACACGTTATGAAGGCAACAGGAGTTTCCTTTATGATTCCAAAATTTCATATTTAGCTGATACTATTTCTGGTGGAGTTTGTAGGCAACTTGTTGTCACATCTATACAATACTTTATATTGAGTTGCTACATTTTACCAATGATTCTCACTAATAGACTATAATTTCTGTACCTGAAAAAACCTTCTCCTTTTCGTTCTAGGGCTTTTCAAAATTATTTAAGAATGATGACCCCGTTTCTTATGAAATAGTACAGGTACTTTCTACTCTTGCTATCACCACAAATCTTAGTATGAATACATAATGTGTTTTTCGACACAGTTCCCACAGTTTGGACTAAACTTTATTTGCGGATTATGCAGGAAGAATTTTTATTTTTTGAAGGAGAAAATTATTACTCTTGTTTTGCGCCCACGTAACTAATTTGTTTTTTCATTCATCCTCAAGATTATGAACACACCTTTACTTCTTCTGCATTTGTGAAGTTTCTATTCATCCTAAGTGTTAAAACACGTTGAAATTTGCAAAGTGATCATCATGTCAACAAAATTAAAAGGATTTGCTATTTTGCTAACGACCAAGGTTAGATGGGTTGGTTTCTAAAATCGTTTCGCATGAATCATTGTATGCACTTAGTTTAAACAACATTGGAAAACTTGGGCGGCGAATTGGAACTTTTCTGGAAAATGAATAAATAAACTCTGAACTTCATTGACCACCATCGGCATCATTCTGTTTTCAAAAACGACAACCTTCGAATAAAATAAGTTCAGCTTGAAGGCGAACATGGTCTGTTATTTGAAATAAAACTAAAAACTTCCCAGATTTAATTCAACCCACATTTTAATAGATGCACGACATAAACTGGAAGATTTTAGTTTGGGATTAGACGTCCTTGACATTTGTTAACTTGTCTATAAGGAACGTACAGCACTTCTTTATCTGCTGTATTTTTTTGTGGTAGGTTAAATCTTCATCTGAGACCATGCATTAAGATTATCTTTGGCTACAATCTGTTTTGATCGACCTCTTCTAAAATTTGTGTGTGACATCAGGTAGCATTTAAATTCATACTTGTTGATATCTTTTTTAAAATTTTTTTTAAGCCACCATTTATCAAAACATTAAATTAAATAAACCATTTAACTTTAAGATTGAATTAATTTGTTTTACTTACGTAATTTCTTTTCTAAACTAACTGAGGATAAAAGTGCAAATAAAACCAAGAAAATTAAATGGGATCTTGTTCGCCACATGATGCCTTAAATTGTACTGATGCCTTGAAACCTACTTTTGTACTTTATAGGTATTTTGCTATGTATATCCAACTTCAATTAACCTCAATTAACTAAAATGAAAATAAACAACGGAAAAAAAACGGAAAAATATATATTTTTTTAATTTGTTTGGTTTAACATTGTAAACAAAATGTAATTTGTAATCAATTAAACTATAAAAATTTAAGGTGTAATTAAAAAAAACACATTATTCTAAACCGCTTTAGTTTGATCAAGGTCGCACATTTTAAATTAGTATATAACCGATGGAAGATTTCAAAATAAATTTCAATACTCAACCGACCACCGGTTTGTTTGTCATGTTCAAAATGAAGTGTATTTCCATCTTAACGATGGCTTTATTAATAACCATCTTGGATGCAAAACAACTTCGTAAGTAAACAAAAACATTTTATTTAATTTTTAAATAAAATCGTTTTCAGCACCGTATTTAAAAATTTGTAAACGTTTCGATCCTGAAATTTCAAAGTGTTGGAAGAACACATTCGAAGAATTACTTCCATATTTAGCGAAAGGAATCCCAGAGTTTAAAATACCACCTTTAAATCCCTTCAATATCGACACGTTACAATTAAATCAAGGAAACTCCGAAAATATTCATTTCACCGCACATTTAAGTAACGTTACATTTTCAGAAGCAAACGACTTTAATGTCGTTTCTGCTGATGTAAACTACACGACAATGGTGATTAAGTTAACATTATTTTTCCCACATTTAATCATGAACGGCGATTATACAGCTAAAGGAAGGGTGCTTTTATTTCAATTTGATAGTAAGGGTCGCGTTGAAGGTGATTTTAGTAAGTTTAGTGATTTTGATGTTGTATTATAAAAATTTTATCTAAAATTGGGTGTTTTTTTAGAGGGTATGTTAATAAACGGTACTTATATGTTGGAAACGGTTAAAAAAGGAGGACAAGAATATCTACATATTAAAGAATCTACTCACAATGTAGACATAAAAAAAATTTATATCTATATGCACGACCTGTTTAGAAATAATCCTGAAATCACTGCAAATGTCAACAAGGCTATAAACGATAATGTCGATGTTTTGTATGAGGATTTTCGACCGTTACTAAGAGAGACTTTTTCTACGATTATAAACGAATACACTAATAGAGCTTATTCTCAATATCCTTTTGATCAGTTACTTCCAATTAATTAATTATGTTTCTGTTTTATTAAAATTATTTTTTTTATATAAAAAAATTAAATTGAATTAATTAAATTAAGAGTTTACTTGGTTCATTTTACAGTGGAACCTCGGTATACGACCATAATCCGTTCCTTATATTTGAACTTATACCGAATAAGACGTATACCGAACCAACCTTTCCCATATCAAGTAATGTAAAAATGATTAATCTAATTAAGACACTGTTTGTAAAAAACTGAACTTTATTATAGATTTTTAAAGTTATGATATTGAGGCCCACTTTTACCATCCCCCTGATAAACTGTCTAGAGGATAGTTGCCATGGTCACGGCGGTTTTAAGCACTCATTCATGAGGTGGTAAAAGTGGGCCTAAATGAATTATTTCAGTAATAATTATTAAATCAAAACAAACTATGGTTAAATCCCTAATGCAAAAATTAAAAACAGAAATAAAAAAATTTCTATTCTAAAGAAGAAGACCCTCATTCTGGATTTTGTTACTTTTCTATCTTTTTTCACTTTACACTTGACTCAGCAACTTTTATTAAAAATCTGTTCAAAGAACTTTATGCTTGTCTTTTTCTTAGAATGTCTCTAAAATGTGACATTATCTGGCCTTCCCAAGCGATGTTGTTACGTCTTGTTTAAACTTGGTTAGGTATTTTTCTGCAAAATTTTTCACGTCCATCCATTCTGCAAGAATTTCTTTGATTAGTGATGAAGAAGCCTCTTCTATCTCTTCTTCATCTGAGTAAGAAGAGAGTCTATTAATTCTAGTCTGATGCTCATCATTTTCCATTTCCTGTAACACCTCAGTGGTTAGTTCTTGATTATGTTCTTCCAGTAATTCTTCTATATCATCATCACATACATCCAGTTCCATGGATCTGGCCAGGGAAACAATATCCTTCATTATAGAGCTCCTAGATTCAACATTTCTTTCGGTTACTGCTTGTGGCCACAAATTTCTCCAAGCGGAATTCATTGTTCTGTGAGAAACTTCCTGCCAAGCTTTATCAATGAGCTATATAGCCTGTACAATATTAAAATGATTTTTCCAGAACTCTGTCAGGGTTAATTCTGTCTCGGAGGTTACTTCAAAGCAGTTCTGGAATAAAGCTTTAGTATAAAGATTTTTGAAATTACTTATGACTTGCTGATTCACAGGCTGAATGAGAGGAGTGGTATTAGGTGAAAGAAACGTTAAAGCAATGACATCGAACTCAGACAAAACACAATCCTTCAAACTTGGTGGATGAGCAGGTGCATTATCAATTAGTAGAAGATTTTCAAAGGTAGATTGTTTTCTTCTAAATAACGTTTTATACTTGGTCCAAACACAACGTTAAACTATTCAGTGAAATATTGTCTCGTTATCCAAGTTTTGCTATTTGATCTCCACATAACAGGCAGCTCAGACTTCTGGACTTTATGTTTTTTAAATGCCCTCGGGTTTTCAGAATGGTAGATCAGTAAAGGCTTCATTTTACAATCCCCACTAACATTGCCGCAAAACAGTAAAGTTAATCTGTCTTTCATTGACTTATACCCTGCTAATGTCTTCTGTTCTTGTCTGATATAGGTCCTATTTGGCACCAAAACAAACCAGTTTCGTCACAATTGAAAACTTGTTGGGGACTAAACCGCTCAGTTTCCACAAATTCTCCCAAATGTTTAATAAATTCATTAGCGGCAATTTTATCGGCTTAGCTCCTTCCCCATGTCGTACAACATTATGAATACCACTTCTTTTTTTGAAATTCGCAAACTAACCATGGCTGGCTTTAAACACCTCGCTTTCCTGCCTAGTTCCTGCTTGGCTTTTTACGAGATCATCGTGTATCTTTTTAGCTTTCTAGCAAATAATTGCTTCTGATACACTGTCGCCAGCACATTGTTTTTCTGTTAAAATTTATAATCAGAACTTATAAATCGCGAAGTCCAGCAAATTTAGTACACCGAAAGAGCTGTACATTCACCGACTCTCGTTACCAAAACTCTTCACTCTAAATGAATAAAATGAAACTCTAAAAAAGTAATAAATAAGTATGTACAGTGTGGTTCAAATTCGATGTCCAAATAGGCTAACTCGGAAACTATAAGAGTTAGAAAAAAAGTAGTTTACATGTTATGATCTCGTTTTTCGAGAAACTGCTAATGCCGAAAACCTCAAAGCGCTATCGTCTTTTGTTTTTCCCCTAGAGGTCAAAATGGCAACAAGTGCGATTCTCTTGGTTATTATTATAGGTGGAGTATTATAACTAAGACATTATATGGACACTTTTTTACAGAGAATATTATAACGTAGTCAAAAAAAATTTTTTGGTTTTAGGTATTGACATATCATGGCAATTTTCGTTTTTTTAAAATGGAAACAACCACTGATTAGTCGCTTATTAAATTCGTTATTTTTTTCTGATTACAAAAATATAGGGTGTGACAGATCTATTCCTTATCGTTTTAGAATAAAGCTAAAAATAAACTTTTTTTAGTGTCGTTAAAGAAATTAAATTTACAGTTTCCTGTAAATTATAATTAAAGTTAAAAAAAACATATTTCTGATATTTGAAACAAATACATTTGTTGAACTATTTAATTTATATTCGTTTTACACAAAAGTTGGAATAGATTGCATTATTTCACATTTTTTATTAATATTTAATATTATTATTAAATGACTTAATAAATTATTGATAGATGGCGCGCATATATTTTTTTTTAATTCAATTATGTTCAAATAAACATTAGCAACACTCAAAAATGTTCTGAAGTGTCAAATTAAAATCCTGTTTTTTAAGATGGATTACAAAAATTACAAAAAGTTTAACATGTTAGAATGTTTTATATTAGAAAATAAAGTAAATTTTATATAAATTTTTAGAAGAATAATTTTTAGTTGTAGCCGTAATTTACAGGAAACTGTAAATTTAATTTCTTTGACGACACAGAAAAAGTTTATTTTTTTAACTTTATTCTAGAACAATAAGAAATAGACCTATCTAATCCCATATTTTTGTAATCAGAAAAAATCTAACGAATTTAATAAGCGAATAATCAGTGGTTTGTTCCATTAAAAAAAAACGAAAATTGTCATAATATCTAAAAATCTAAAACCGAAAATTTTTTTTTAACTACGTCATCAAATTCTCTGTAAAAAAAGTGTCCATATAATGTCTTAGTTATAACACTCCATCTATAATAATAACTAAGATAATTGCACTTGGTGGTTTTGCGATATTTTCAATTTTGGCCTCTAGGAGAAAAACAAAAGACTGATAGCGCTTTGAGGTTTTTGGCATTAGCAGTTTTTCGAAAAACGAGATCATGACATGTAAACAACTTTTTTCCTAACTTATAATTTCCGCGATAGCCTATTCGGACATCGAATTTGAACCACCCAGTACATAAAAATATGTATGTATTTAAAAATGACGCAAAATTCTTACAAAATTTTTTTCTCGTATACCGAATAAATGTCTCATACCGAGCAAAATTCGTTTCGTTAAAAGAGGACGTATTCCGAATTGGACGTATTCTAAAGCAGTCGTATACCGAGGTTCCTCTGTATTCTGAAACTTGAAAGACAAAATGTTACAAAATTGTAATTGGACATTTCTATTTGCTTTTAAAATGTTCATTTTCATCCCCATTCTCACTGTGCAGGAAAGCATCATAGGACAGAGTTATTGACTTATGACTTTATATAAGCGGATATTTTAACATTAATTAGACATTGCAGAACTTTCATTTTCATTTTTGTTGTAAATATATTTCTCTAAAAGAAGTATAAAAGTCATAGAATGTTAGTGAAACGCATTGTTAAGGGCAAACTTTTTTCAAATCGCTTTGCTCAGTTATATCTTTCACTGTGTCCTTTTTTGTGTTAATTGCAGAGTTTTCCAAAGCTTTGGTACATAGTGATTCGTCGCTAAATATTGAAACTACTTTGAAATGTTGCTATATTTTCTGCTATATTTAAAATCTCGTCGTCATCACCAAACATCTCTGAAATTTGTGTACCGACTAACTCCTAAAGCAAGTTGAAGTATCCTAAGAGTTCAAGTGTTACATGAGGAATTATTACAGGACTCCAGTACAATTATGGCGATTGATGGAGCCATTTAATTTAAAGGATGCCTCATCGCTCCACCCAATTTTTTGTGGAAACCCTGCATCTTCTGCACATTTTGCCAGGAATCATTCACAGAATTAAACTCTCCGGTCAGGATCGTCTTCGTTGAGAGCATGAATTACAGTTGTAATGTAATATTTCGATGAAGACGCTTCATGATGCGATAGACGTTACTATCTTTTGAGATGTGGGTTTCCCGAGCAGTTTGTCGAAGATTGCTGTGGTGACCGAAGGAGTGTTTTCTGCACCTGCTCTTCTTTTCCAGGGTTCGTGGATGTCCGTGGTCGTCCAAAACGTTTCTTGTTGATGTTTCCATGTGCTTTAAATTTGTCTCTGATGCGAGCAATGGTCCATCGCGTTGGTGGCGGTTTTGCGAATTCCTTTCTGAATCGTCTTTGCACTTTAATGGCGTTTTCGGTATTAAAATAACATTTCAGTTTTAATAACGTTTTATTAGCCAAATTCGCTTCCGGCCAAAACTTTGTATTTCTGACTTCTTACTATAATTTCTTTTATTAATTCAAACCCATGTCCTTTTTTCGATTATTAATAAGAAAGAGATTTTGAATCGGGCATTTCCACTATCATATTGGTGAAGGATTAAGCTTTCGAATGAGATATTGTTCATCAAAATCGGTTAAAAGATTCTCTTATTATGAAAACGACTTATGAACATCACCATTGATTGATTAAATAAAATAACTGAATAGTCGCCATAACTTTGGTTTCCAAGAACTAATTTCTAAAGCTTCTTCATTATCTCGATATTGAAGTTGGCGATGACTGGTGATGACAATGATTCACTCATATTTCTCGTATAACTTTCCCAACTTTTCCAATTTTCGTCGTAAACCCTCCACAACATCTTTTACCAGAACTTTGATTAAAAGTGATTCCAGATTTAAGATAACTAATATCGAATAACTTTTATGTCTAAACGTTCTAAATGAACTTGCTATTTAATATATTATTAATATAGTCATTATAATCAATTTTTGAAAAAAACCTATTATAAATCAATTTAGAACGAAATTATTTCCATGAATAATTTTCAAATGATTCGTTCGTTTTATTATTCGTATAAACTTTCTTTACGATTAACGCGACGGGGCTCAACATATTCCTACTCTACTATATAATCAGTAAAACCCGTAGAAAATCGCCCAGTCTTAAGAAACATGTTGCGCGCCGTTGGCGTTTTGGTCATTTACCTTCTCTTTGGCATCGCAACCAGCAACAACATCAAACCTCCGCTACGTAAGTCCTCCCTCCAACTAAAAATCAATTAATAAATAAATTTTAACGATTTTATCTTTATTTTGATTCGAAATGAAACTTTCACTTTTAGAAGAAATAATAATATTTTCTCCTCTTTTCTATCTAACAGCGAGTTACGTCAACGTTTGTAAACGTTTCGATCCGGAGATAGCAAAATGTTGGAAAAAAACGTTTGAAGGACTAATTCCGCATTTAGTGAAAGGGATCCCGGAGTTTAAAGTGCCGCCGATCGAACCCTTTTTCATCGACAATCTTCAATTAAATTTAGGCAATGGAACTACGATACGTTTCGTTGCCGATTTAACGAATGTGACCTGTTTTGGTATCCAAGATGTGAAAGTCGTCTCCGTTGAACCAAATTATAAAACTTTAACGATTAAACTCGACTTGATATTCTCAAAATTAGTCATGAAAGCTCTTTATAAAGCGAATGGGAGGATATTGTTGTTTAGATTTGATAGTGCGGGAAATTTTGACGGGGAATTTAGTACGTATTCATTATTTATTTTGTTTTGTTAGTTGGGGATTAATTCTTTTTATTTTAGAACAAGTTTATGTTAAAGCATTCTATCAACTTGAAACGTACGAAAAGGATAAAATTGAACATATTAGAATAAAACATTCAACGCACGATGTGGATGTGAAGAGTATGTCTTTGTATTTGCACAATTTGTTTAAGAATAACCCGGAAATAACGGCGAGCGTTAATAGGGTTATAAACGACAACATCCATATACTTTACAAGGATTTTAAGCCTTTATTACAAAGGACTATTGGTGGGATTATCACGGATTACGCTAATAGAGCGTATTCCCAGTATTCTTTTAACACGCTTCTTCCAATTAATTAATCTTAATTAGTGTTTTAATTATTTTTTTTTTAATATATTGTATATTACAATATCACAAAATTAATTTGAGTTGTTTTTATTCCCTCTTTTCACGTTCCTTTATGTAACCAACAGAAATGTAGGTTAAACACATTTAGCGCGGTGTCTCATTATGGGATTTTACGTAAGAAAAGTTTGCTTTCGTTTTAACATTTTTTCCGTAAACCGTTTTCTTTTGTAATCTCCTCAAATTTTCAAAATTTCCCATAAAAACGTTAAATAACCGTTTTGACTTAAAACCAATTAACAGTTGTCGTCATTTTCTTTCTGTTTTCGTCAACGCTTCCAAGAAAAAAAAACCTCACGACTCTTAACACCGTTAAAACAGTTTGTTTTTCTAGGGATTCTTCCGGAGGAGTATACAGAAACAGATCGAGTACAGGTGTTTACGAGACGGTAAGTGTCTCGTCATTAGATTGAACAGGAACCGTTGCCAATACTGTCGTTTCAAGAAATGTCTCGCTGTTGGAATGTCTAGAGATTGTAAGTTAAAGATGCTTCTTTTTTTAATTAATTAGTTTCGATAAATTCGTAATTTTAGCTGTTCGATACGGAAGAGTTCCAAAACGATCACGAGAACGAAGCACCGAAGAATCCTCGCGAGTATCGACAACGGAAGCGGACCAATCGGATAACGAAACAAAACAACTGGCGGTTTACGATGTAATATTAACGGTTTCACAAGCTCACCATGCCAATTGCGGTTACACGGAAGACAATACGAGAAATTTAATACGAAAACCTTTAATCTTGCCACCGACGGCACCTGAAGAAAACGACGTCGCAACTTCAACAGCCGAATCTTTAGAACACCAAAGGGTATGGTTATGGCAACAATTCGCCGCGAACGTAACGCCCAGCGTTCAAAGGGTGGTGGAATTCGCGAAAAGAGTACCCGGATTCACGGATTTGAGTCAAGACGATCAATTGATTTTAATTAAAGTCGGATTTTTCGAAATCTGGTTAGGACACGTCGCCAGGCTAACCTCGAATACATCGATGATGTTCGACGACGGAACCACAGTCTCAAGACAACAATTAGAAATTATGTACGATTCCGATTTCGTTTCTTCGTTGATGCATTTTGCGAGTTCGTTTAACGCGCTTACATTAAACGATACGGAATTGGGGTTGTTTTCTGGAGTTGTTTTATTAACGGCGGATAGACCGGGTATTATGGATGTTAAAGCCATCGAACATCATCAAGATAGATTAATAGAAGCTTTAAAAGTACAGGTAAAATTTCAATTAATTTTATGAACAAAAATAAAAACATTTTAAAGTTTTAAAAATTTTGATTCTATTGATTTTAATTAAGACTTCATTTTAATGACGTTTATCGCAAATGATTTTATTTCCTTTTTTTAAATTGATTTTACATTAATTTATTTACAAAGCGAATAATTTACGATTGAAAATACGATTTACAACGATTTACACATAAATTGAACTAACAGAATTTAATAAACCTAATTTTAGTTAGGAGCTAATTTCACTTTATTTACGTTTTGTTGCAATTGTGTAGTTGACAGTTATTATTAAACATTTTAATCCTAAATATTACGCTAAACATCCTTTTAATTATTAAATTAATTGTTTTTAATGAATCTATATTTAAAATTAATAATAATTTTAAAATGCACTGTATCAAAGCGAAAAATTATGCCATCTATCGATTTTAACTTGCAACTTTTTCAATGAAATTAAACAAAAACAACAATTATTAACTTTATTATTTTCAATTGATTTTACATTAATTTATTTGCGAAAATGAGTTAATTCGATTAATTTATAATGATTTTTCTACATTTAAACATAAATTGAACTAACAGAATTTAATAAACCTNCAAATGATTTTATTTTCTTTTTTTAAATTGATTTTACATTAATTTATTTACAAAGCGAATAATTTACGATTGAAAATACGATTTACAACGATTTACACATAAATTGAACTAACAGAATTTAATAAACCTAATTTTAGTTAGGAGCTACTTTCACTTTATTTACGTTTTGTTGTAATTGTGTAGTTGACAGTTTTAAAATTATTAAACATTTTAATCCTAAATATTCCGCTAAACATCCTTTTAATTATTAAATTAATTGTTTTTAATGAATCCATATTTAAAATTAATAATAATTTTAATATGCACTGTACCAAAGCGAAAAATTACGCCATCTATCGATATTAACTTGCAACTTTATCGTGAATGAAATTAAACAAAAACAACATAATTATTAACTTTATTTACTTTTGATCGATTTTACATTAATTTATTTGCGAAAATGAGTTAATTCGATTAATTTATAATGATTTTTCTGCATTTAAACATAAATTAAACTAATGGAATTTTATAAACCTGAATGTAGCTAGAAGCTAATTTCACATTGCTAAATGTTTGTTGTGGTTGTGTAGTTGACATCTTTAATTTTATTTCGCTAAATTCCTTTACATCAAAATTAAGTTAACCGTTTCAATGCTTGGAATGTAAAAAAGGATAATTAAAGAAGTGAGAATTTTGTTTTCGAAAAAACCCAAATACAAATTTTAAAGAACGATAATTTAAAGGGTGAGTCGCCATCTATCGATTTTAACTGCAACTTTTTCTTTTATAAATTTAATTTGTACATAATTATTAACTTTTTTATCGATTTTACATTAATTTATTTGCGCAATTGAGTTAATTTAATGAATGAATAATGAATTTTAATATTTAAACATAAATTAAGCTAACAGAATTGAATAAACCTGAAATAGTTATAGTAGAAGCTAATTTCACATTGTTTAAAGTTTTGTTGTGATTGTAGAATTGACAGTTTTAAAATCGCAAATTTTAATCATAATTATTTCGTTTAATTTACATTCAAGATTAAAAATCCTTCTAAATCGCATCAGAAGAGGGTAAATTTGATATCATAACAACGTTTCGATAATATGAGAAGTAAAAAAATTATTACGAAAATGATAGTTTTAGTTTTAACAACATAACCTCAAACTAAAATTTGGAATTATTTTAAAAGTGATTGTGGAAATTCGTTGGAATTGATTAAAATAAGGTTTTTAAGGAATTTTTATTATATTTCAGTATTTGTAAAATACGAAAATTAATACGTTTTTTTTTGTTTAGGTTGGAAGAAATCATGCAAGTGAACCACAACTTTTTTCAAACGTTTTAATAAAACTACCTGAACTAAGAAACTTGGGCGTGAAGCACGCGGCACATTTAGATTGGTTTCGGGTGAATTGGGCAAAATTATCGTTGCCGCCGCTTTTCGCGGAAATTTTTGACATTCCAAAAACGGAGGAAGACCTCCAGTGATTATTTATAATATAAAGTAAAAAACAACGGTCGTCGCTCTCATCCGCAGGTCCTTGCTCAAGCAATTCGCGTGTATTGTATGTACTTATCAAATAATATTCCTCTTTTTTAACCGCAATAAAATAAATTGAGCTATTAAATACGGATGGATCAAATTGAAAGAGTAATTTATTAGTACAAGAAGATGACAGGTAAAGACCACAACAGGGTTTGTAAAATGTTTGTAAAGGTCATTTGAATTTTGAGAAAAAGCTGAGAAATGTTTTTGACTTTTTTATATTCATAAAAAAAAGTTTTTATAGTGATAAATAACATTTTATGGGCGAACATATCAAGAACAATCTGTCGAAGAGCAATACTATCTAACAAAAATGAATTAAAAAAAGTTAAGCTCATGTCCAATAACTCTAGGAAAATGGTGTTTTTTATACATATCATTGTAAAAAATAATTTAATCGACGCGTTCTCGCCTTTTTGCTCGCTCTATTAATTAATTAATTGATACAATAAAAAGCTGTCTGTGTAGTTATTTGTAAATAGAACCGCGTGCTCCGTATGCAGGTGTTTCAAATTTCATATCCATTTTTGAGATAACTAAATTCTTTTTTCTTAATCATTTTATAACAAAAATTAATGGATAAGTATTTAAAACAACCTGTATTTCGTGTTTATGTTTCTTACTATTTTGTCGTTTCGGTGTGGCATCCCTCTTCTTATACGGTAAATAAGTAAAAAATAAACGCTCAACAATAATTTATTCTTCATCTAATATCTATTCGATCGGTGTATTTCACAATGTGTATAATAAACGAAGAAACATAGACGGTGATAAAACAAAGTAAAGGGTTGAAAAGGAGTCGATTTTGTAGTTAAATGTATACTTTGCTTGTGCGGTAACAATCATATCTCCTATAACTAACGATCATTAAATTTTAGGTGTTGTAAAGTAACTAAAAAAAGAAGTAAATTAAAAGATTTAGGTGTCGTTATTTATATTAATTAAAAAAATCACGATTAAGCATTAAGATGAAGAAGAATATTACTGAAGAAAAGAAAAAAATATCTTCTTAGAGTACAAACAGAATTAAAATCCCTTCGCGCGTTACATTAAAATAAAAAATATTATTATTATTAGACAATTTTTATTCGCAAATATAGTTGATATACTATCGTGTACTAAGTTTTAAACATACATAATAATATACATCTATTTTTTATGAATTGCCGTCGTACGACTCTCTATTTAAAAAAAAATGGTAGAGATTATTAACTAACTTAAGGTTCGTTTTTGAATTGACCTGTGACTGACAAATCGTACGTACATTATACGTCACATTATTAATTAATGGGTGATTACTAATTAGAAATCTTTTAAAAAGATAATCCAATTTTGATTTTTTTTTTGATTTATACTAACTTTTTCTTTCTTTTTTAGTTTTCAAGTCAACTTTTTGTTCCAATACAATACATCCTTCTTAAGAGATCTGCAAGTCTTTAAAGATATTTAACAAATGGGTTTTTGCATTACTTGCATAACTATTTGAGTGAAGCAATGAAGTTTGGTACACTAAGTAAAATTTGACGGCGATTAAAATATTTATTGATTGTTCATGGAGAGATTATTACAAAAAGAATTGAAGAACAACCCAACCCGAATATTATTTTAGATGTGAAAAAAGCCTGGAAATAGCACAAGAAGAATTAATCAAATTAAGAAAACTTTTAAGTTATTAGCATTAGTCATAATCAATATTGGTGCTTTTGATCAAAGATGGTTATTTTATATTAATATCCATGAAATGGGGACCATCCATCCCGCTCAATGCACTAAGAGGGCTAAATTTTAGGTTTTCTGTCAACTACTAAAAAGAGAAGATCTAAAAAGATCTAATCTTGAAATTAGATGCTATTATACAGGGTAATTCAAATTCGACCCCCACCATTCGAATCTCAGAAACCATAAGAGATACAGAAATGGGGGCAAAGTCGCGTATCATAGAGCTGGTTGAAATGTCATAGTTGTGTCATGACATTTCCCATAAAAAGTTGCCTTAAGAATGTTTTGTCAGATTCACGAAAAAACGAAAAATAAAGAAGTTATAGGCAAAAAACGAAAAAGTCATTTTTTTGGCCATATTTTAAAAACTAAAACGGCTAGATCTAAAAACTTAGTTGAAAAATGATGAGCTCTAAGATGGGCAACTTTGCCTTCATTTAACCATTTCTGTATCTTTTATGGTTTCTGCGATTCCAATGGTGGGGTCGAATTTGAATTACCCTGTATTGAATTATTACTTGGTTTCAAAGCAGCTCTTTACTATTAGGTTCGTCCAATTTTGGTATAAGTTGTTTTTCTAGATAACAAGTTTCCAACTCAGTAAATACTTATTATTTCACTCCTTGTAAAATCTTGATAGATTTTTGTAACGTCATTAATGACTTTTGACATTGAAGGCTTTTAAGAATTTATTTGTACAGTGGCTATAGCAAGTTTTTACAATAGATACTTCAATACTTCAATGTATCTCTCTGCAATCTTCATAGACCACCAGCCCCCATCCGTCTTTTAACACTAACAAAATCAACTCCTGACTCTGCTAGTAAAGTAGCAGAAGATCTCCAAAAACAATGACCAGCGTAGCTTTTTGGTTCTGCTAAATTTAAATATGTTGCAATATCCCTTGAAGTAGTTCTGATGTTGTTAATAACTGATTATAACGATTTTTTGAATTTTGGATCTAGCTCAATTCTTCTATAAGTTCCATAAATTCCAAATATTAAAATAACCTGTGAGAACATAAGTCTCATTTAATAAATAAAATAAAATGCATTTATCTCACATCTTATATCAAAAATAACTATGAACGCCTGCTTTTATTATTATTATTATTGCTGCCAGGCTGAGGGGAGCGGCCCCTCTCGTTACCGCAATCTATAAGATCTATTATAACTTTAGCCCTCCAAAAGTTTAGGGCAAATGTAGGTCCTTAATGAACCTTAGTATTGCCCCAAGGTCTTGCTCAATCAAAACATTACGTCATATAATATCCATCTCAAATCAGGCGAACCTTTGTTATGGGTTCGCCAAACTCGGTGTTTCTAAGAAAATTCAAAAGTGTACAGCCATGACCTGCACTATCTTCAGTTCACGCAAAAATTATGAATCTTGTAGCAATATTGGTGACATATAAATAGTACAATGTAATTTGAAAACTTTGTGAAAATACCCATAATTGACATGAGTCAGTACTCGTTTTTTGTTTATGCATTATTCACATTTTCTAGTTTATTTGTCATCCCTTTAGACGAAAATTTCTTTATCTTTGCGTTCCTACCTGTGAATTAAATAACTGTTTAGTATTTAGTTACTGTATACTGAATATGAAAGCCATGAGGTTTTTAAAATCTGACAATAAATATTTCTTTGTCAGTCGCTCAAATATTTTCAGAAAAACAGCTGACCTTGAATTATTATACAGGGTGAGTTATTAATATCCCGGTGGTCGATAGCTATTAAATCATTTGAGATAGAAAAAATTGTTTTATAGTTGTTTCATTCATCACTTTCTATAATTAAAATTATTTTCATTTATACAGAGTGTTGCATTTCAGCGTAATGGCAAGTATGTAAATTTTTTTAAAATGGAACACTTGTATATTTTATCAGATTATGAATACAACTTGTTTATCTAACCGTATATGTTGCAAACTCACTGCGTTAATAGTTCCTGATATATTCAATTGTTTTTCAAATACAATACCCTGTATAAATGAAAATAATTTTCCATGATAGAAAATGAACATTTTTTCTATCTCAAATGTTTTAGGATTTATCGACCGCCGGGATACTAATAACCCCACCCTGTTTATAGCGATATTCGTTTATTTTCTATTTTAAATGATTGCAATTAAAGTCTTTGGGGTTAGGAGAATTAACGACAAAATATAATTAATGTAATAAATGCATTGTTTTCATAAAAATATTCGTAAATGTTTTCTAACAACTAAAACAATACATTTCCAAACAACACAGCCAGCACGTGCACGACTAAACCGCACGATGTGTAAATGACTTGTGTACATTTAAAACAAAACGTGAATTTGTTTTGTTTTGAAAATATTATTTTACTGAATTTATTGTGTTTTATGGAAATATGTGTGAACTTAAGACGGACTTTATGCAATTTGATACAGCAAAATTATAGGGATGCAAAACACTCGGTTAAAAAAAAATAGAAAAATTTTTACTTTAAAAATAAAATTTAGCTTTGTCTCGTTATAATCAAGGTTGCCAAATATAATATAATCTAAACTTAGTAAAAGTGGCAAAACCAAACATATTTTTATAATTTTTTTATTGCTTTATTTAACAAAAATATGAGTATGTAGTTAGTTTGGAGTTAGTTTGAATAGTACGTACTATTCAAACTAAAACTATACAGGTTGTACAAAAAATATGGAATAAGCATACTTTGTTGTCTATTCCATAATGACACCATAATAGACTGCCTAAGTCTGACGTCACAGAGATGGGCGGAGCTTATACTGACTCCAAACAATTTCGTTACTAACGATAAATCGCCAAAAAATGTCATTTGAAATGTCATCACTTAGTTTATTTTATTTTAACACTAACGAAAAATTGCATATGGTGATTTACCGTTAGCAACGAAAATGTTTGGAGTCGGTATAAGCTCCGCCCATCTCTATGACGTCAAGGCTTTGGTTGTCGCTACGTCAAATCTTTTTAAATAAAAGTTTCAATATCTCGAAAACTATGCAGTTTAAAGCATTAAAACCTTATGGCATTTTACAACACCTTGTCAAAAGGAATCCAAAAACCTTAAAATATACAGGATGTTCCATTTAAAAACACACTCACCATGTCGTAACTCAGACTGCCGTCATTATTTTTATTTTATTTCTACGCCAAGATATACGGAAAATAGTTTCAAGTAACTTTTATTTAAAACTTTTTTTATACTGTATAAGCTGAAGTTTAGGCTGTAGAACCGTTATTCCATACTTTTTGTACACCCTGTATGTATCTAATACCTTTAGATAAACCTTCAGAAATTAATTTTTTGTTATGATTCTTTCTATAACTTCCTCATCTGATCCATTATCGGATTCATCATCTTTATTTAACGCATTAGACATTATTTCGGTTTCGGATAGAATTTCACCAGTTATAACGTCGTTATCAATAGTATTAAATAAATTTGAATCCACCCCATCGATTTCCAAATCATTTTTTTCTGCCCAACTGGAAAGATTTTCTTCCGTAGATAGTTCTACAGTTTATGCGCTCGTTATAGGCGGTACAAAACATGCAAAATTAGTTCGTTATAACCGATCCTCGTTATAACCGACATTTTTAACATTGTAAGGATAGGACTTTTGACGGGACTTGAAGGTATGCTCGTACTTGTTGCTCCATACTTGAAAATTCGATCTTATCTTTAAAGACTTACAGCACCCTTAAGAAACATTTTAGTATTTATATAAACTTTTGCCGGGAATTTCATATAATTCGCAGTATATGAATGCAGTAATCATAGTTACGAAACTACTGTGCACTTGCACTATCCCACATAAAATGCAACATCAATTGCAACACATCAAATGCAACATCCTCTTGATAAATTTATCCGATAGATAAATCCAGCTCTTAGGTCCATTACTACCATATTTTAGTTAAATTTATCTTATAGATAAACCCATCTACTAGCCAATCATAGCGCGTAAAATAGCTGTAACCGTGGTAATAATCCCTTAGATAGCTTAACCAGAAGATGGTAGTAACAAGCCTTAGCCAACGAGAGCGCTTAAAACTGCCGTAACCATGGCAACTATCCTCTAGATAGTTTATACCGGAATGATTCCAGTTCTAGGCCTAGTGTTAATTCTAGTGATAGTGCTAGTGCAAAGCTAGAACTAACACTATACCTAGAACTAGAGTCATTGTGGTTTAGCCGTCTTTAGAGACTTGCTGCTAAACCCAAATTATTCTAGTTCTAGGTATAGTGTTAGTTCTACATAGTAACAGTGCTAGTGTAAAACTAGAACTAACACTAGTTCGTTTTATAAACACTAGTTAGTTTAATGAAACACAATTTCATTAAGAAAAACTAAGATTTTCGTAAAAATCTGAAAATTCTAACCTAATTTGATACATCACATCCCATATTTATCATAAAATTCACTTTTAAAAGTATAAATGACACAAATAATTAGTGTTTTGTTTTCGGCCATCTTGATTTTATACAAATAATGATATCTTGGAGGTTATAACACTTAGATATGTCGAGTTTGAACTCAATTTGAACCTTTTTTAATTATCTTTAATAATATTTAGGAATTGCTTCTTTTCCGCAATCTTAAATTTCACAAATATTTAATTTCATTAAAAAAAACCAAGATTTTCGTCAAAATCAGAAAATTTTGACCTAATTTGACTTTTAAAACCATAAATGACACAAATAATTAGTGTTTTGTTTTCGGCCATCTTGACTTTATACAAATAATGATATCTTGGAGGTTATAACACTTAGATATATCGAGTTTGGACTCGTTTTGAACGTTTCTTAATTATCTATCATAATATTTATGTGCCATTTGTTTTTGGACACAAACGAAGTTAATTATCTCAAATGAGATGTTTCCATAACACTCAAAAAGTTTTAGAATACCAGAAGTTTTAGCCGTGCGTCTGAAGACGAACGATTTGTGTCATTTATGCTTTTAAAAGTGAATTTTATGATAAATATTGGTCATCAAAGTCAAATATGGGTAAATATGGGCACTGTTACCATGTAGAACTAACACTATACCTAGAACTAGAGTTATCGGGTTTAGCCGTCTTTAGAGACGTGCGGCTAAACCCAAATGATTCTGGTTCTAGGTCTAGAACTAGATAGTAATATCTAGTTCGTAATATATAGTACTAATTAGCGCTACTTAGAACTGTCACTAGAACTAACACTAGACTTAGAACTAGAAACAATCGGATTTAGCCGCACGTCTCTCAAGACGGCTAAACCCGAATGATTCTAGTTCTAGGTCTTGTGTTAGTTCTCTTGATAGTGTAAGACTAGAACTAACACTAGATCCAGAACTAGAAACATTCGGATATAGCCGCACGTCTTTCAAGACGGCTAAACCCGAATGATTCTAGTTCTAGGTCTTATGTTAGTTCTAGTGGCAGTCCTAATGCAAAACTAGAACTAACACTAGACCTAGAACTAGAAAGTTTCGGGTTTTAATTCAGTTCTAGTTTTAATTAAAAAAAAATATGCAACACATTTCTAGTACTAACTAGCGCTACCTAGTATTGTCACTAGAACTAACATTTAATCTAGAACTAGAAACATTAACATTTTTTAGCCGTTTGAAGAGACGCATACCTAAACCCGAATGGTTCTGGTTCTAGGTCTAGTGTTAGTGTTAGTCTAGTTTATTTCTTATTCAGCACTAGATTACTGTATATTGAGCTACATATAACGGACACTGCCTTTCTTGAGTTTTACTGTAATGTCAAATTATATTGACATGTTGCATTTTATAGTAGGTTTCTATGGAAATATATTTTTGTAAATTAATTATAAATTAATGAATCAATTTTGATTGATAACTCTTTTAATGGATTTCTTAACGAACAAGATTTATTTGATAATGTGACGAAAGAAAAACGCGGTGTGGTTAGTGATGTAATTTGTATTATAAATCGAGGCTAAACTTATATCTATTATATTCTATGAATAAATGATATAATAAAAGACAGTTAAATGTACCTACGTTTCGTACTTATACATAGACGTAAAAAATATTGTAAATAATCATTTTTTTATATTATATTTCTTGTTTTTATTATTATTATTATTATTACGTGTTTTTTTTTATTTTTAATTCTTTTAATTTTTATTTTTTTTTTCGTAATTTCGCTGCCTTACATTCGCCTGCCGTCGTCTTTGAACGTCAACATAGAAGGATTTATTTATTTTATTTTTTTTCAGATTTTAATATATTATGTGTATAAGGTAGATGATATTATTATCTGTTTTTTTTGCAATTTAAGCGACGTTCACTTTCTCTCAGAAATAAAAAATATCAATATATCGTTAAATAAAAGAAAAGAAAATGTTGTTATTGTACTCTTGTTTATTCTATTGAATTTTATATGAACGAAAATATAATATACGTATTGTATAATTGTTTACGCACTTTTTAACCACCTTTGTCTATTATTCATATACGTTGTCCGCTGCTATTTTGAAATATATGTAAAGATTTAGAGTTTTGTTATCGAAGATATTGTTTAATTTTTTTTTAAATCTGTATTACTTTCCGAAATTAAAATATCTTTTTATTACCTACACGCCTTTTTATTTTTATTTATTTTTTTAAAAAATTTGCGCCATCTATTGGTATCAAATGAAATTTTGATCCATCTACGGGCAAACTTGTCAACGATTTAATCGACCAAAGAGCAACAGAGACGGCGCTAGTGTCGACCCGTACATGAAAAACATGGCGGCGTAGATATCCAAGTGGGGCCTCACACACCAGTTTTCTCTAAATTAATCGCTAAAAGTGGCGGAATTTAAAGCGCGAAATGCTCCTAAATAAATTCGGTTGAAGGGCCGGGAATTTTCAATAGAAATGAGTTCGTTTCGGGTCGATTTCGCGCGGTTTTAATAAAAACTCGGTACAAGTTCTTCGGTAGGAGAAGAACAAGTTTTGACAATCTGGACGAGAACTTCTTCGTCGAGAGAAGTTCGCCCCCCGATGGTCGTCGTTTTCAACTACTATGGGGGCACAGAATACAAAAGAACGTACTGTGTCCGTTGGGACAAATTCTATAAGGGCCAACAGAAGTAAACCTCGACCGGTCAAGGATGGACGACAAATCGTTTCTAATATATTTACAGAACATAGCGGTAAGTGAATGAATCATTTTCAACTTCTTTAATATTTATTCCCTATTTATACATATTTTTATTATTATTTCCTTTTACAACAACAATCAACAAATTTTTATTTATATCAGTTTCTATCTGCATTAATTTTAATTACTTCAAAGTGTACTATTATTGCGAACAAATTGAGTTCTTTGTCTTTTTTTCGCTTTACGTTTCATTCCATTATTGCATTATTATTGTAGTTTAATTGAATATGTTCAAAATCTGTTAAATAACAAAGATTTATCAGCTGATCAATCAAAATTTAAATCATAACAAAATCAACAATTCGTTCTCATCCTGGAATATTTCGAAACTCTTTAAAGTTATCGATTCAATCTTAACACTAATAAACTAAAAATGTTGTTGTGTGAGTCACATAACTTTTTGATTACCTAAATATAATTACTCTAAGAAATCATAACACAATAATTTTCTTTAATGATCTTTTAACTACAACCTTACAAAAACTAATTTCTTTAATGGAATTAACTCCGTCTAAATCTTGCGCACGTTCGTTTTAATTTCATTAAAGAAAGTAACGTTTAATTATAACTTGTTCATTTAGGTTTATTATTTGGGGCGCCACCCAAGGTTTCTATTAATAAACGCGACATCCTGAAATACATTAAATGATTAATAAAATATTACAATGGTGCAGTTCTTTCCGAAGAACCGGTGACATTTTAGGGCGAAAACCTACACTTTTCGACGTATTAAATTACTACTTCGTTGAACGTGAAAGTGAGAACCGTTGCAAAAGAAGACGGTCGTCAGAGTCTGGTGGTGGTTGTGTATGTGTGTGTGTGAGTGTGGGCGAAGGTCGATAGGGTGGGTCATAGACTCGAAGGGAATCAACCCCGACTCGCTTTTATCCCCAAATAACAATACCACAACCCCCTAACGTTCTCTGTTTTACACTGTTTTAACTCACATAAGCTTCATGAAATTATATATCTTATTTCAAACTTTTGCAAACTCTAATAAATTGTGTTTATCTATATTTTTATATAAATGTATGTAATCTTGATTGTCACACCATGATTGCAAGTTATAAGATGATTCATAATTAGTGTATTGAAATTGAACAGAAGATTTAAAACAAACGTGAAGGAACTTAAAATGAATACACTCAAGTCTAGAAATATAGTGGTGGATTTCAAATGATGCTGAAGATTCAAATAAATCGGACTAAAAAAACATTAACTGTAACAATTTGATTTCTATCTTTTAGATAAGAAGCCATTGCAAAAGTTTCCTCTAGAAACCGAAATTTGATCATCCAATTTAAGTAAGGTTTTGTAACTTAAATGTTTAGAATTAAAAGCAAACAATAAATGGGTCTTAACTACCTTACCAAATAATTTTTGCAACGCTCATAATCGTGGATATGATATAGAGAGATTTGCAATGGATGAAGTAATAAACTAACATTGGTAGTAACTTAGAATCTTATCCTACTGCATCATACTCAAAGGAAGAGGACTTACATATAATTTGTATTCTGATTCGATAAATTTGCAAACATTCCAGTACCATCCCCGAATTTATTGTCAGTAAGTCCACACTAAACCCAGAGAATAGTGTGGTCGAGCAAATGTTTACACATATTACATAAATTTATCTCTTTTTTCAAATTTACAAGTTGCTGTATGCTACTCAGATGCTGGTATTCACAAGCCTTTAGAACATCTTGCAAAGTGTCGAATATCTGTCTATCTTTACATCTCAGCTGTTGTTATCTACTCAATATGAGATATGTCAGAAATGAGAAGAACTTTCTACAAGATCTCTAGATACACATCAAGTATCCCGCGTTAAATTCAGAATAAGACCCGTTTCATACGGGCTGGTCGCCAAATAGACGGCAGCCAGTTAGAAGGTATGAGTGTGTTAAGTTACATGTGAGATTTCACATGAATTGGTACGGGTTAGCAGAAAACGGGTAACCAGTAATCGAGTTCATAGTAGTACATAAACTATAAAAAGCATTTTCATACAGCAGGGCCCAGCGAGTAGCAACTGGAATCGGTGTTTTCGCAAAAGTTAAATCTACGAAGCATCGCTGCCGATTGTCTCCGTTATCATCAGTGTTGTTAAATACCCGGGTACTTATTTTACTCAAATTTAATTTAATTAAATTGAGTTGATGGCAGTTTTGCAAGCACTTCAAGAATGCAGAGTCGATTATCGATATACTAAACTTATTTATAACATCTACAAGAATGCTACAACGACGGTAAAATTGCATGAAAGTACTAAAGAGAATAGAAGTGGTAAAGTACTGTTTGTGAGTAAAACAAGGAGAGACACTGTTGAACCCAAATTGTTCATCACAGTCCTCAGAGTGCATTTAAACAACTGGATTGGACCCAAAAGGGAATAAGCATTGATTGCAAATGCTTAAGTAATTTGCGTTATGCGGACAATATAGTTCTTATATCGGATAGCCTTGGAGAGATTAAACTAATGCTGAACGACTTAAAGGAGGTGCGTTAAGAATTATTTTTATTTAAATTAAATGCAAGTAGCCATTGGCTAAGGTCCATTACTACCATCTTTTAGTTAAATTTATCTTATAGATAAACCCATCTACTAGCCAATCAGAGCGCGTAAAATGGCCGTAACCGTGGTAATAATCCCTTAGATAGCCTAACCAGAAGATGGTAGTAACGAGCCTTTGAGCTGCATTTATCTATCGGATAAATTTATCAAGAGGTGGTAAAAGTGGGCCTAAATAAATCATTTATAAACCATTAAGAAGTGTTTTAACCAATATCAACGAGGAGAAATCAAAATTTATGATAAATCTTGTTCCCAGCTCTAACATCAACATTGGGGATAATGAGATTGAGAGGGTCGACAGCTATGTATATCTTGGCTATGATGTTCGTGTATCGATAGATAATCAAACAAGCGAACTAAACAGAAGGATTACACTCGTATGGGCAGCCTACGGGAACCTTAGAGACATCTTCAAGAGAAAAAACCAAGAAAGGCTTTCAATCAATGTATGTTTCCGGTTATAACATAAAGCTCCGAAACTTTAACATTAACGGTAGCCACTGCTAGGAGGGTCCAAGTAACGCAAAGATAGATGGAAAGTTCGATCCTGGGTCTAACTCTGAGGGACTACATACGAAATGAAAACCTATGAAGAAGAACTGGCGTAAATGATGTGGTCAATATTGCGGCAAAGTGGAACTGGGCGGGTCATGTTGCGCGAATGAAAAATGAGCAGTGGACTAAACGACAGATTCGTCTAATGACATCTTTGATTGTTGACAATTCCTCGTCTTCAACGTCCTCATCATCTTCCTCTTCATTTTTTTTGAATCTGATATATTTTTACTGGTACCACTTTTATACTCGCTGTTTGAGTATTTACCCTGGGCCGGGGTAAATACCCGGATAAATACCCATTTTAGAAATACCTACGCGCCGGGTATTTACCCAGCGCCCAGCACTGGTTATCATATCATCCCATTCTTAGTTTTTACTGGATCTAAAACCAAACTGATTCACAACAGGAATACCATAAAACTCAGCGTGATTCATTCTGGTTGTTTTAAATATCTTTGCTAATGTTGGAAGAACACTAATATAGGGTCCTGCAGAAAGCTGTTTTGTTTTTGAAACGGATATAACTAAGCGAGGTGTAGAACAATGTTTACACAATGGCTGATATACACTTGTATGGCATCTAACCATATTAGATGGTGATTCATGAACTGAAAGAAAGTGCGTGAAAACGATGCTGGAAACCTTGGAAAATGACTGTATTCTGATAACGATTGGTCGGTAAATAATCGACGCGAAATCCATAAAATTTCTATCTGATTTGGCATAATTGGACCAGCATTGGGTCAACTCACAGCGTTAAGTTACGTTGGTGCAACACTTTTTGATGGCTGAATTGAGAATATAACGGATTGACATCTATATGTTTAGGTTTCACAGGATGAGGTATACTTGCCATACCTGTGAAGTGGCCTCCTCGAGCTCTTTCGTAAGCCGTTACTCGAGAAATTCATGCAGTTCCATGCTTGGACAATTTTACCAATTACCTGTCAATCAATCAACTCTGGAAGATTTGTCCCAACGAATGGACCACCGTGTCTGTCAAATGACTAACTTTGGAGAAACTTTGTTAACATTGCAGGGCGAAAAAATATGGTCTAATCATATGAAATCCCCCACCACGTTGTCACGTTTTGTTTTGTAGTTTTGAGTGTCTTGACACTCATGGGGATTTGTTGCTGTCCAGTAACATATATTTTGCTTCCATACTGTCCATATGAAGCTACAAAAATTCCGTTATCATCTTGCTGTACCTCACACCGTTGACAGTGACAGCATTACCTGACCCATTTCCGCACTAAACGGTGGCTTGTTGGAATTCTAAGCCCTAAATTCGACAATTTTATTTGTTAACAAACCTGTTCAAATTAAATTACGCCTCATAAAACGAATCACAACGCTGTGTGGTTTGAGCTCCTGGACCAGCTGAGCCTTGTATAGATGAAGATGCTTCCAGATTTTCGGCACTGTCGATTATAGTGATGTTTTCGCGAGATTGTTAATTCATTTGTGGTAACTTTCCCCATTTTTGAAACGGTTTTTCATAATGATGCAACATTTTTTGCGAAGGACTCCATAATTAATAATCAGAATAATTGCAGATGGCAGCTGTCAAATTCCAGAGCTGCCATTTGTATAGAAAAAAAATCCCGCAAAAGTTAAATCGAACCTTTGATTATATATAATATGGATTGAGCTAACTGAATATATCTACTAACAAAAATGTTGCTCAAGGTGAATAGACGCAGATGGAAAGCGATAATGTGAAAGTGTAACAAAGATGGATATATTATATGTCAGTACGCTTCTATATCTATCTCACTTCTATCAGTTCACCCATTATATGGCAGTACGCTTCTATGTCTATCTCGGTTCGATCACCTTGCGCAAGTTATCTCTCTCGTTGGCTCCATATTATATATAATCAAAGAATCGAACATTTTTTATAATTCATCATTTCATTATGAATCTTGTCAAAAAAACTTTTCTGGAGACCTCTTCGAACATAAATTTCTTAAAAATGTATGGTTGAGTATTAGCATTATTAACCTTGTTCAGGTTTTACTTTTATGTTATGTATTTACACGAGTCCAAAATCAAGTTATGCACTCTTTCAACATGTATTCGTTGATTTTCAATGTATGTGCGAAGTCTTTTTAGTATATTTCCGATCATCCGATCAAACAACCGTTGTTTTACGTTATTAATGTTGCTAAGTCTTGAAGCATACACGCGAATGGTGCATTCCACATAAGTTGAAATCACAAGGAGTCAAGTTTGGTGGTACCGCCTATCAAGGCAAAAGTTTCAGCTGTTTCAATACAAAGTCTAGCAAATGTGACATCAGGGAAATGTTAAACCGTTGATGTTTGCAATATTCTTGAAATGTAGGATTTTTAAAAGCCACCTCATTTTTTATTTAAGCTCTATATCAATTAAATTGAATTTAAATCTGCATGGTGTATTTTATTTATCACTTTTGCTTCTGATTTGGATATATAGTTCGTTTTTTTTTTCTATAATACTTGTCAATGTAAATTTTTTAGGGTTTCTGTTGGTATTATCTAGGACCCTTATAAAATTTATGTTGTTTTCCTGATTTTTAGTAACATTTTCAGTAACTAAATAATTGAGGTTAAAATACTAATACATTTTTAGATAAATACGATTTTAACCAAGTACATATTTATTGTAAAAACGTGCTACATAGTAATTAAATAGAACAAAACACGTTTTGTAGGTAAATAAATGCCAAATACACACCCCACAACATTTTTTTATGCACGTTTTCTTTTTGAATAACGAAAGCTTAAACGTCAGCAGAGTCAAATAAACGTCAGTGTGACATATTTATTTCAAAACATCATATAACAAAACTCCCTGTTAGTTTTGCCAACTTTACAACAATTTGACAGGTATTATAGAAAAAAAATGAACTATAGAAACTTCTTCTACTTGGGCCTCATAACCTTTTTGGAATCCTTATATTATTTAATTATACGGCAAAAATGTTGATTTTGCAAATCCCTATAAATAAAATATTTTTAGGTCGTTTGATATAATTTTTAAAACATTTATCTTACCGATAGCCTCGATATTTTATTAACAATATCGGTCATTTTCATCGGATTTTCGTTATTAATGATGTTGGTTGGTACAGATTTAGAATACTTTGCCTTTTTGGTAAAGTTATTGCACGCAAAAAAGTTTATAACGGAAAAAATCGTTCGGAAAGCGGCAACCTAACCTATAAATTTAAAGAGTTGTCAAAAATAAAGAAAAATCGTTTTCAACCAATCACGAACAAGATCATTTTGGTTACAAATTTTTTTTCTGTCAAAATTTGGTAAAACAGTTGGTACGATTAACAGGGAATTTTGTTATATTATGTTTTAAAATCAATTTGTGTCAATTTGACGTTTTGAAATTTAGTTATTCAAAAAGACAAAATTCAATTTATATATTTATAAATAAATAATTAAAATAAAAGGTGGAAATTGGAATTTATAGATTTGAAGCCTGATATCTCAAAACATCTTTGTAGAGTATTGAAATACATTTTTTTACAAATTGGTTTTCTTTAACTCGTTATTGACAATTACCTGAGTCTATTTTTTACAGAAAAGAAATTATACGTAACACAAATGTGTTTGTTTGAAACTTTACTGAGAATACACTGCTATGCAAAATAAACACTTAGAACTATCGCGTACTTAGGTTTTGGCAATCAAAACCGAGCATGTATTAACCACCTTGAGAACATTTATCTCAAACTATAATATCACTAACTCGAGTAAAATTAGTCTCATTTTAATATTTTTAGAATTTGGGATTCCAAAATAAATTTTAATTTGATTTAAAAAACACGTAGTCCATTGACACTTCTCCCGGATACAAGATTTTTTTAAAGAGAAGGATAGAATCGAACCTGTATGTTACACAGCCACTGCGTCCAATGACCTTGACAAGGTCTCAACCAAGCAACCTTCAATAGTTATCCAACTTCTAACTATTCTAAATTACTAAAGTTATTTAAAAAAATAAAATCTTTTAAACGGTACCAACATAACCTATTTTTATAAAGTTATCTTATCAATTACGGTTATTCGAATGCAAAACAGGAAGCCATTAATAATCGCTTTGAATAAGCCGAATGTGGCATTTAATATAATTGATAAAAAAAAACTTATTACTATTTGAAATGTCGTTTTAGAGGCGTTATTGCAAAGTAGACCGCTGCCTCATATACCGAGCTTACCGGAAACGGATCCTCCGGGTACGCTCAATTCCGGGACGGGACTTGGTTCCGCCAATTTAGGCACGCTGACCGCCGTTTCCGGTGGTTCCGTAGCGCCGTCAACACCTCTATCACTCGAAGCTGCCAATAGATGGACGTCAAAAGAAAACTTGCTGGCTCAAGAAGAGGACGATCCGCAATTATTCGTTGCTTTGTATGATTTTCAAGCGGGTGGCGAAAATCAATTAAGCTTAAAAAAAGGTAATAATTCAAATTTGTTCATTAAAACGGGTTTTGAACATACTTTTTTTTTGAATCATAATTATCAATATTTTTTTTATTGATAAATTTAGTCAAATCAAATTTAACAATTAAAATATCTCTGATGTTTGAATTGTCAAATTTCTATTTATATTTTTCTTTTAATTTTGTATTAAATTCTTGTATTAATTATTAAATTTATTATTTAGGTGAACAAGTTCGAATACTCAGTTATAATAAAAGTGGCGAATGGTGTGAAGCTCATTCCTCATCGAATCAAGTCGGTTGGGTTCCTTCTAATTATGTGACACCCGTGAATTCGTTAGAAAAACATTCTTGGTATCACGGACCAATTTCAAGAAACGCCGCCGAATACCTACTCAGTTCCGGTATAAATGGAAGTTTTTTGGTTCGCGAATCGGAGAGTAGTCCGGGCCAACGAAGCATATCGTTAAGATATGAAGGTCGCGTTTACCATTATCGCATCAACGAAGACCCCGAGGGTAAAGTTTTCGTCACCGCCGAGAGTAAATTTAATACTTTAGCCGAACTCGTTCACCACCACTCGATGTTATCCGACGGTTTGATAACGCAACTTTTATACCCAGCGCCGAAACATAACAAACCAACCGTGTTTCCTCTAAGTCCAGAACCGGATGAATGGGAAATCAATCGGACCGATATCGTAATGAGACACAAACTCGGCGGTGGTCAATACGGTGATGTTTACGAAGCGGTTTGGAAACGATACAACATGACCGTAGCTGTAAAGACTTTAAAAGAAGACACGATGGCGTTGAAAGATTTTTTAGAAGAAGCCGCTATCATGAAAGAAATGAAACATCCAAATTTGGTTCAATTGATGGGTGTTTGTACTCGCGAACCGCCGTTTTATATAATAACTGAGTTTATGAGTAAAGGTAATCTCTTGGATTATCTTCGAAATGCAAATAAACAGAACATAAACGCTGTTGTTCTTATGTACATCGCAACTCAAATCGCCAGCGGAATGAGTTACTTGGAAAGTAGGAATTTTATTCATCGCGATTTGGCCGCTAGAAATTGTTTGGTCGGCGAAAATCATTTAGTTAAAGTTGCCGATTTTGGCTTGGCAAGATTGATGAGAGATGATACATACACGGCGCACGCGGGCGCTAAATTCCCCATCAAATGGACCGCACCCGAAGGATTAGCTTATAATAAATTTTCAACCAAATCGGATGTTTGGGCTTTTGGTATACTTTTATGGGAAATCGCCACGTACGGAATGTCTCCGTATCCAGGAGTTGATCTCACCGACGTTTATCATATGCTTGAAAAAGATTATCGAATGGAATGTCCCCCCGGGTGTCCGCCGAAAATCTACGAACTTATGAGACAATGTTGGCAATGGAACGCCATGGATAGACCTACGTTTAAAGAGATCCATAACGCTTTGGAAAATATGTTTCAAGAATCAAGCATTACTGAAGGTTTGTATTTTTTTTATGTATTAATCAAATTTATTTATTTTTTTTTTTTTTAATTATAGAAGTTGAAAAATTATTAAAAGACGGAGATACCCCCGTTTTAATGGGAACTCCTCATTTATCCTATAAGAAATCCCATTTTGGAAGCGCTGGAAATATTCATGGACTTGTTGGAGTTGTTGATCAAAACAGTACAGGTAAAATAATTTGATTATATACACAGGTGTTTTAAAATTGTTTTTTATCTAATTTAATCGATTGATAATCATTTATTGTGTTGAAAAAATTGCAAAATTTGATATTAAAAAAATAGCTATGCGCGCCATCTTTTGGGTAAAGTCGAAACCTTAATTTGTTATGGTGTGAAGTTAGTTGTTTTAAAATAAGTTGTCAAATAATTTTAGGTTAAAAAGCATATAAAATGAAAAAAATGCTTTAAAAGCTTTGTTTAATCAATCTAAACTGATTTTAATTAATTTATTTATTATATTTTTTTGATATTTAAGAACAAATTGGAGTATGAATGTAAATATATGTAAATTATATGGCTTAGAAGTTTTAGGGTGCTGAATTTAAAATTAATGAAAAGTGGGTTGGATTGGGTTGTGAGTAAGATTACGAGAGAAATAATCATGACGATTGAACATTCAAGTATAGTGGTAATAAAAAATTCAATAAAAATGGAATTGACATGGAACAGCAAGTGAGGCGAGTAGAGCTTGTATTATAAATAATAATCGGAACGATGCAGATAAAAAGAAGTTTTGGACTAACTACAAAAAGAAACTTATTTATTATAACCGCGAGATTACCCAGCATTTCTCCATCTCTCTTTTGGCAAGACTCAATTCATGGTCTGTCTGATTCCTTGAATCCTACTGTTTGGTTAACCTTTCTTTCTTCTATGTTGATATACATATCAAACAGCTCTTTGCGCTCAACGGTTTGTGATATTAAAATTACCATTTACTATAATGGCTTTATCAAGCACAGATACTGAATACTTGACAAAATGTGAAGCAACTAAGAAGCAATGTACATAAGAAATTTGTACAACAATTTGGTTGGTGTAATAAAGTACAACATGACAAATACTTCATCAAACCGCTTGTATTGAAATTAATGAAGTAAGAAATATTCTACTAAAATTTCTAAACAGCTACAGAGAAGATGTTTTTGATGTTGTGCAGGTTTTGAAACAGACATAAAAATTTATTTGAGGTTTTAAAATATGTCAGTTGTCAAATAATGTTTTTTTAGTACACAAATATACAGTTAGTCCCAAAAGTCATCATACACCAATTAAAAGTGTACAAAAAAAGGTGGAAAAGGTTTTTGCATGATGTCTAAAATAGGATCATAAAAATAAGTTTTTTGAATAGTTATAATTGGATCACGTTATACATCACTTAACTAAATAAAATGTCGCTACATTTTATCGTTTTTAGAGATTTTCATGCTGTCTGGTAGGTAAATGTGGATGATAAATGGTAAAATACCAACCTTAATTTTTTTTTATTACATTTGTATTTTTGTGACTAATTGAGTGAATAAAAATTAAGAATATGTCAAAATGACATTGACATTTCAAACCGGGAGTTTTATATGTCTCCAGTAATATTTGAATTAAATGTATCTTGTTTAGACTCATTTTAAAGGATTTTTCACGACGATTACAAATATGTTAACATTCTTAACCGGAAATTGACCATAACTTCATTAATATTGAAGATAAATATATCGTGTTTGTACTCGTTTTAAAGGATTTTTAATGAAAATTACAAATATGTCCAAATTGAGGTTGATATTTTAATCCTGAAATTAGTTATCATATAAGAGAAGTTTCATAACTGATGATTCTTGAATTTTTCCCAAGTTTCTTAACATTTCTTTTTCTTTTGTTAAATAATAGCATTCTTAAATTTTAACTTGTAACACTTCGTCCTTAATTTCATTTTACAACTTTTTAAACTTTAATTTTGTAAATTAGTAACTAATAATCTGATATCGACTTTGATATGTGATCATTTTTAACAAAAGAAAAAGAAACATTAAGAAACTTGTTTGTAAAATGGATAAGATGAGTGATATTAATCTATTTGTAGAGTCTCTGAAGATGGCCAAGGGCTGAAACTAGTTAAACTTAAATTCTATATAAAATAAAAACCAGTTTAAAAGTACAAAATCAAACTCTAGATTATTTACTCATCATTTTGACTCTAGTATTTGCGATTAAATTTATGCCACGACTTACAGAAACACCCTGTATAATCTTGTGATAGCTGTTATCAGTGTTCTGTGATAAAAATGGACAGGCTATTTTGAGAAGTCTTATATTTTTAGAGAGATGATTTTTCTCAATTTGTCGCTTAGTCAAGTGATGCATAAAGCGGTCCAATTATTCATTTTAAATAGATTCATAAGTAAAAAACTTTTAAACTGAAGAAAAAAACAAAATAAATTAATAATTCTTTAAAATTGTTCCATTGCAACCTCACAAAAGTAATTGTACAGCTCTAAATGTTGCAATGAACGATGCAATCTGCGTACTAATACTTCATAGGTCCTCCATTCGCTTTTAGTACAGCTTTCAATCGGCATTGATTGCACACACGCCTAGCTGCACACATAGCTTTCTCATCTCTGACCCAAGTCTTGATGTTTGTAAAGCACATCACGCAACTTATGCTTGAAGGAGCAGCACGATAACACTTTAATCACCTTTTGTTTTAAATTGGCCTTTAAAATATTGAAATATTGCCATCTGTCCATTACATTATTGATAAAAACTAAACTCCCGACTCCTGAAGCAGTCATAGATCCCATACCATAACAGATCCACCCTCATGCTTAACTGTAGGTAGAAGATTTTTTAAATATAGCGCTGTGCCGGGTTTCTTTCAAATTTTACTTCTACCATCACATCCAAAAATGTTGTATTTTGACTCCTCAGTAAACATCACCCTTTTCCAAAAATCCATATCCTTTTTTTTGTGCATTTTTACAATTTTAATACATTTTTCTATTCACGTAGCTAATGTAGGGTTTCTTTCGCAGTACTCGTCCGTTATAGCTTGCAGATCGCAAAACTTTTCTCACAATTTCTGCTCTACAGTTTTATTAACTCGATTTTGAAGGTTTGCTGCTATTTTTAGGGCGCTTGTCCGAAGATTTGCGATAACTTCTTCTCTAATGTTTCATTCATTTCGAGGAGTTAGCAATTTTGGACGGCCCATTCGTGGTGCATTTTCAATATTTCCGGTATATATAAACTTTGTAATTATGTACTGAATAGTAGAAGCACTTTTCTCAAGTATTTTAGCTATTTGACGTATAGAACAACCCTCCTTATGCAATTTTTCTAACTTCTATGCTTGTTTCCATTCTTTGGGGTGGTATGGCGTTTGTTTATGTAATAAACGAAGTGCAACGATTACTGGTAGGTTAGGTAAGGTTAGCTACACGGGAAATCACCGGTAATTCATTAAAAGATGGGGAAATTCCTGTCAGTTTTCAGCTGTATGATTATTTTCGTGAGATTGCAATGAAATAATCTTGAAAAATTATTAATTTATTTTGTTATTTTATTGAATTTAAGTGTTTCTTATCTTAGCTTTTGCTGGCAATAAAGTTAATAGCGAAATATGATAACGATACCATTGAGGAGAAGTAGAATAATTTTAAAAAATGGTTACAAATAGATAGATGTAATAATCGTTGAAAACGAATCTAATGATAGAATATTCGTAAATATGGTTCAACAGGGGGTAAAAACATCTAAGAAAACCACAGAGGAAGAGATTAGGAAATATGAAAAAGAATTATTTGAAGAAAGCAAAGAATATAAGCTTAAATTCGTTGTTTATTAATTTTAAAAACTTATAATTTACGATTTTCCAAATAACTTAAATTAGCTATATTAAATAACGATTTTGGAACATCTGTATATTAACAAAAAAACCTTACCTTAACTCTATGATGTGTATATTTCTTTATTTTTCTAGAAAACATTAAACTTAGTACTTTTACGGGAATCACAGGTGTTAAAAACAATATGGTGGTGCGTCGGACAACTAATAGAAAAGGAAAGCAGGCACCGGCACCTCCGAAAAGAACGAGGTACTTTAAGCAATAAGAATTGATTGTAATAAAAATATTTATTTTATCGACTAACCTACAAAAATAATTTCCTTTGTTAATACAATTTGATAAAAAAGCTATTGACCCATATTGCTTCGTTTCAGCCTGTTGTCTTCTTGCAGTTCGTTCCGAGACAGTACGTTCGACGATCAGGGACACGGAAATGAAAACGACGAAGGAGGTGATTTAAATGGTATTTCTAAACGATTTAAAGGTATATTTACTGAGCCAGTTTAGGGTGTTTGCTGTTGATTGTTGGCTATCTAACACGCCTCATTTTTTTTTTAATTGGGTTGGCACGTTAATTTTTTTAGCCTTAAACTGACCAGGTAAAGATCCTCACACATTAAGATAAAAAACATTTTAATCAAAATTTACAAAATTTCTACATACACAATTTTCTAAACTTCAATTCTCACAACACATAATAATAATCTTTTTGTTTCTTTTTTGTATTATTTTTTCGTTCCAATTTCCCTTTCACGAATTAATTTCTATTAAACTTTTGTTCCAACCCTAACAGTCTCTTGACAATGTAAGTAGAAGTTTTGATTATTCATTTAAAATTAACTCGTCCGCTGCATACTTTATTTATTTCTTTGTGTTTTTGTATTTTACCAATATTTTTTTTATATTTTAATGGAATTAGCGAGCATCAAAGGAGGGGATAGCGAAGCTGAACTACAGGATCAGACTCCTGATACGGACGATTCTGGAGCTCATTCGTATCCTGAAGTATCGGGTACAAGTAGTTTTGGTGTTCCTACGGGCACTGGATCGTTTAAAAGGGCGCCGATTATGGGTAATCGTGGTTTAGCTGAACAACGTGGAAAGAAATCTAAAACTTATCCACCAAAAGAGGTAAAAACTTATTATATAATTAAAAATGTTTTTTGCATCTATTTAAATAATGCCAATATTTATTAGATTTTAATAATATTGTTTTTACAAGTTGAAAATGTTATCTTGACGTTAAAAATGACATTTTAATGTTTAAAATTTCCGTTGTCCTGTCGTAAATGTCAGTTTGACGTTCAATTTGCCACTTGTTATGTTGGTAGTGTCATTATGACGACACTAATAAGACGGAATTTTATTTACTATAACAATCTACTAGATGGCGCTACCATACACAATTTGCAATGTAATTATTTATATATATACCAGAAATCGACGTCACACAAATGGGGTATTCGTCCATTCTAACTGGACAAAATTATTTTTCTATTTTCATCCCTTGAAATGTTAAACTTTTTTTTTAATTTAAAACCTTAAATTGTAATATACAGGTAATGATGCTAAATTGATGCGAAAGATTTCAAGGGTTGATTTTTTAGCAAAAATTAAGGTGTGTCTTTCATATAACTTTTTGTTCAAAACCCCTTCTCCTCCAAGTTACAGCCCTCTAAAGTTAGGGAAAAAATTGTTTTTATTTAATAAATTCACTATGGAGGAATTTAGAAGAATGAAATTTGGCAGATAATTGTTGTTAATAAAATGACACCTTTTGACGATATTTATAACCCTAAAATGTTATTACAAGGGGGTGAAAAAATCAACTCCTATAATATTTTGCATCAGAACGTTTACATTTTTCTATTTTAAATTTTGCTTTAAATAAAGGGATTCAATCTGCAACTTTTTTATCTCCAGACATTTTCTCCCAAAATTGTTAGTTTGGTCACAAAAAAATAAAATAAAGCATAGGTTCATTTGACATAGGTAATTCAGATTGGTTATTATATGTTAAGAAAAATCAAGTAGGCAAATAAAGTCATAATGACAAATATTTTTATTACAGACATTTGTCATAGTGGACATTCCATCTGGGACATATGTATTAAATAAAACCAATTTTTCCCTTAACTTTAGAGGGCTGTAATTGGGAGTGAGGGGGTTTTGAACAAAAAGGTATATGAAATACCCCCGTAATTTTTGTTGAAAAATCACCCCTTGAAATCTTTTGCATCAATTTAGAAACACCTGTATATTATGTACTTGTATATGTGGTAGGTACATACATATGCAGGTATTTCACTATAGGATTAATAATAATAATATGTTAACTAATAAATTAAGACCGTTTTGCTTCAATTTTACATATACCTCTTGTATATATAACTCAAGATTACTATAATTCTTCGCTTGATGAATTTCTATTTTCGTCTTCTGTTTCATTCGGTATACTTTGTATTTCCCCTGGAAGTAACAGTTTAATCCATTCTTTAGAAAAAGGTTTTGTGTTCTTGTTAGTTTTCGGTCTAATGCTTGATAAGAGTATATCTGAAGTCAGCAATAACCTGTTAATAATATCTTTATTACAAGCTTCACGGGAGAATTTTCTCGCGTATTTTAATCGATATTCACGAAAGTGCTTATTGCGTGCTTCTGCTGCTTCTTCCGACAATAAAATTGACCAATGGGAAAAAGATGACATTTTTAATCATTTCGAGACCATGCATTAGAATTTTATGTAGTGTAGGAGTCATGGGATACCATGGGTACTTCTCTACATAAACTTTTGCCGTGTCCAAAGTACACTCTTTAAACTTTTCAATGTCAATTTTATGCCCACTTGAAATAGTTTCTAAAATAACTTTTAAATGGTAAATTAGAAAATAGTCTACTCCAGTAATTGCAGCTGACTGCTTCGGATTACTGAAAAATCGCCTACTAATGTTACCATCATTGCCTCTGTTTTTAAACCAAACGCGAAAGTCAGATTTACACTAGGAAAAATCACCAGAAAATATCACTAGATATTTTGGCGGTAAATTTAAATTAATAATTATTATTATTTATTTATTTACTTATTATTGTATTTATTTTCGTTTGTTATCGTCAACACTAAACATACAAATTAACATTGAAGTTATGAGTGTATTTATTTCAAAATATAATAAAGAAGGGTTTAAGAACACAAAATTTACAATAATGACACGAAACTGTCGAATTGTCAATAACCTAACCTTCAAATTCAAAATTGCCTGTGTGTGAACCTTCCTCGCATTCAACCAATCACGTGCAAGGTCAATCTGGTGACAAATTTAAAATACTCCT